GGAGCTCTTTAGCTTGCGTGAACATTCTACGAGCAGGTGCGGAACTGTATGTGGTGTCTGTCCAAAAATGCGTACAGACATCCTTCGGGCCAGTGTACATACCGTGTTATCAAAGGCAGTTGGGCAGCAATCTTCCGAGTTACGGATGACCTTTATTGTGTCAGTTTGGGAAGTGGTGACTTAGGGAAGTGGTGACTTAGGGAATTGGTGACTTAGAGAAGTGGTGACTTAGAGAAGTGGTGTCTTAGGGAAGTGGTGACCTTGGGAAGTGGTGACTTAGGGCAGTGGAGACTTAGGGAAGTGGTGACCTTGGGAAGTGGAGACTTAGGGAATATTGCATGGGACTTGTGTTGGGGAGGAAGCCGGAGAACGAAACATTGTGTTTTTTCGGGTAAAGTGGCTGCAGCCAGCGATGAAGGGCAGTTGCGGCTGCGGTCGCTTTGATGTGTGATTGGTTCCTCCAGGGTGTTCTGCAACGTGCGGTTGCAAATCGCATTGTAATGGCTGCGCGAATGTGCACGTGGTGCTGCAAGGCGCATTGTAATCTCTGCATGAATGTGGCATGGGACTTGTTCGGGAGGAAGCCGGAGAACGAAACATTGTGTTTTTTCGGGAAGAGTGGCTGCAGCCGGCGATGAAGGGCAGCTCGTGTGTGAGGCGGTTGCGGCTGCCGTCGCTTTGACGTGTGTGATGGATTCCTCCATGGTGTTTGCAATGTGCGGTTGTTCATGCGTGCGTAGTTATAATAGGGTGTCTCGGAATCGGTGGTTGCAGATCGCAGTGTCATGGCTGCATGAATGTTGTGCGTATAGATGCATGCGGGTTTGCCAAGTGATGTTGCAAAACGCATTGTAATGGCTGCATCATGGTTCCTTGCTGCTGCGGCTGCCTGCGTAATACTATTGACTCTTGTCACTGTCAGCAGATTTTCTCAAACTTGGCGGGGGTGATTTTCCTCTTGTAATTTCCTTTTCAAAAGGGCTTCAATATTGTCCTGTTTCGCTTTGGCGCCGAGATCCGGTTTGGAGCTGCAATTTCTGGCACCGTTGTGCGTAGTTCTATTGTGCTTTGCAACTCAGTCTCTGCAGATCGCGCTGTAATGGCTGCATCAAGGTTCCTCGCTGGTGCAGCTGTCTGCGTAATACTGTTGTCCTTTGCAGGTGAGAGTCTTGAATCGTATTCGAAGCGATCTATCAGCAAATTTTCTCAATTTCGGCGCTTGTGACTTTCCTTTTAAAATTCCTTTAAAAAGTGCTTCAAAATCGTCCTTTTTTAGCTTTAGCGCCGGGATCCGGTTTTGGAGGTGCAATTTCTGGCGCGGTTGCGCGTAGTTCTATCAGTCTCTGCAGGCCGCACTGTAATGGCCGCATCAAGGTTCCTTGCTGGTGCGGCTGCCTGCAAAATACTATTGTCTTTTGCAGCTGAGAGTGGCGTGGCTGCCTGGCTGCATGCTTGCGACAGCGATCTGTCAACAAATTTTCTCAATTTCGGCGTTTGTGACTTTCCTTTTAAAATTCCTTTGAAAAATTGCTTCAAAATCGTCCTTTTTTCCGCTTTAGCGCCGAGATCTGGTTTTGGAGCTGCAATTTTCTGTTGTCAGTACGTACTAGAAAGCTTCTTTGTTGAAAGCCTTCTTTGTGCAAAAGCTTGCTGTGTGAAAAACATTGCTGTGTAAAAGCTTTCTGTGTGTGAAAGCTTGCTGCGTATAAACTTTCAAAGTGTAAAGGCTTCTCTGTGTAAAACTTGCTGTGTGTTAAAGCTTGCTGTGTGTAAAGCTTTCTGTGTGTAAAAGCTTCTCTGTGTGTAAAAGTTTTTCTGTGTAAAAGCTTCTCTGTGTAAAAGCCTGCTGTGTGTAAAAGCTTGCTCTGTGTAAAAGCGTGCTGTATGTAAAAGCTAGCTGTGTGTAGAAGCTTCTGTGTGACTAAAAGCCTTGTGTAAAAGCTTTCTGTGTGCAAAGGCTTCTCAGTGCAAAATCTTGCTGTGTGTAAAAAATATACAAGCTTTCTGTGTGTAAAAGCTTCTCAGTGTAAAAGCTTGCTGCGTGTAAAAGCTTGCTGTGTATAAAAGCTTCTCTGTGCAAAACCTTGCTGTATGTAAAACCCTGCTGTGTGTAAAAGCTTTCTGCGTGTAAAAGCTTCTCAGTGTAAAAGCTTGCTGTGTAAAAGCCTGCTGTGTGTAAAAGCTTCTCTGTGCAAAACCTTGCTGTATGTAAAACCCTGCTGTGTGTAAAAGCTTTCTGCGTGAAAATGCTTCTCTGTGTAAAAGCTTTCTGCGTGTAAAAGCGTGCTGTGTTGAAGCTTCTCTGTGTAAAAGCGCGCTGTATGTAAGCTAGCTGTGTGTAGAAGCTTCTGTGTGTAAAAGCTTGCTGTGTGAAAACGTTTCTCTGTGTAAAAGATTGCGGTGTGCCAACGCTTGCTGTGTGTGAAAGCTTTCTGCGGGTGAAAGCTTTCTGTGTGTAAAAGCTGGCTGTGTGCAATAGTCTCTCTGTGTAAAAGATTGCTGTGTGTAAACGCTTGCCGTGTGTAAAAGCTTGCTGTGTGTAAAAAAAATGTGTGTGTGTGTGTAAAAGCTTGCTGTGTGTGACTGTGTGTGAAAGCTTGCTGTGTGTAAAAGGTTGAGCAGTGCTCAGATGAAATGAAAATATATGGCTGAGAAGAACGTGGAGGACATATGAGAAGAGATGAGATGAGATGAGAAGAGCTCAGATGAGATGAGATGAGATGAAGTGTGGGGTGTGAAGTGTAAGTGCGAAGGGCAAAGTGTGAAGCGTGAAATGTGAAGAATGCAGTGTGAACTGTGGAGTGTGGAGTTTCAAGTGCGACCTTTCGAACAGTGCATCACTGTCGCACAAAGCACGCACGCACGGGCCTGGCTGGCGCACGGCGCATGCAAGCTCTATAGATGAAAAATGTCTTATAGTAGAACCCTAAAACAGCTTCCGCCCCGCCTCCTGCGGGTACTACTGGTATACATATATATATTTTATATATATATATACACATCAGAGGCACATTCAAAAAAAACGCCAGAGAACACAAGTGTTGCACGATGTTGGTAAGTCGGGTCAGGTGTCAGACGCATGTGAAGACCGAGGTGGAGGAGTGATGGTGAAGGGGTTGATGACAGAGTCAAAACATTCCGAAACAGTCACGTTGTAATCACATGACGTTGTAATCGCATTGCAATCACACGCCCAAACTAAAACTACTCGGATCTCGGACTGTTCAACGCTGAGCCCTTTTGGATTCAAGGAGCGTTTGGCTCAGAACATCAAGGTGTGGGTGATGTGCCAAAATTAATGTGATTTTCAAACTTAAGGAAAATAAGCTTCAGTGGTATCCCCAACAGCCGCAACCTTTTATTTTTACAAATCTTTCTGAAGCGTGCTGCGAAGCCAAGCGCTGGAAACACCTCAGCTGGGTTTCCGTGAATTGAATGGCCGCAAATCCTGTTGAACCCGACCTGGCTCTGCACCAAAGCCTCCCAGACCTTCTCCGGAACCTTCTCCGGAACCCTGTTGAACCTGACCTGGCTCTGCACCAAAGCCTCGATCCCAAGACCTTCTCCGGCCTCCCAGACCTTCTCCGGCACCCTGTTCAATGTGACCGGGCTCTGCACCAAAGCCTCCCCGACTTTCTCCGGGACCTTCTCCGGAACCTTCCCAGGAAGCCTGTTGAACCTGACTTGGCTTTGCACCAAGGCTTCCTGGAACCTTCTCCGGAACCTTCTCCGGAACCCTGTTGAACGTGACCTGGCTCTGCACCAAACCCTCCCAGACTTCTCCGGAACCTTCTCCGGAACCCTGTTGAACGTGACCTGGCGGACCTTATCCGGAACCTTCGGAACCTTCTCCCGGAACCTCGTTGAATCTGACCCGGCACCTGCACCAGTGCACACCGGAGCTTTTCTGGGCTGAAGACGTCATTAGCTTACGCTGTTGGGGAAAAAAAGGTACGCACATTTGTTGCTAGCTTGATCTCTGAGAATATTTACAGGGCTCATACTCATGCTGCTTGTTTGTGACTTCGTGTGTTCAGGAATTTCGCATGATCTTGCTCCTCTGTATCAACTCAGTGCCGCGGACATGGCCTGTATTGCTCTTTTCCTTTTTGCTTGCGCGGGTTCTGAAGTGTGGCCATGGGAAGTATCGCAGTGTTGCCAGGCATCACTTTGCAGGCGCTTGGTGTACGTCTGTCCCTGCTGCCACTTCGGATGCTTGTGATCGGGTGCTGTGGTACTTTGGCGTAGGTGTCAGGAGCTGAGACAAGACAGGCTGAGTAGCATTAACATCAGAGAAATTTGCAGCATATTTGGTTTGTTTTCTTGAAAGGTTCTTCTGGCCTTGCTTTCCTTTCCTATGGTATGGCGAAAGATATACTATAACGCTAGCCCTGGGACAGGTTCAAGGAGCCGTTAAGTGGAAACCAGTTTATCTCACTTGTTGACACCAATTTCTCCATCAAGTAGGTTTCCTGGAGCTATGCTCATGCCTTCCATTCGGTACAATGCAGAACCAAGTTATACCACTCTCAAATGTTCTGAGGAATCTTCAGCGTTCCATGGTTCGCTGAACACAGCTGGGAGAGCAGCTGAACAGTCACCACCACATCAGCTAGTTCAGAGCAAGGCGGAGGTGCAAAGAGACAACAAGGAAGCGACAAAGCGTATAAAAGGAAATGAAAGGGATTGAACGTATTGAAATATCAGAATTGGAGCACAACATGTCGAATGGGAGGGTTCCAATCCAAGCCACAGGATTTGGATGACTGCAGCCCGGGAGGTGTTGGTGGCCTAAGTTTCAACGGACAAACCGAAGCATGTATCCAGAGAATGCCGGAGACACGAGGATGAAGGTTGCGTCGCACCCCTGAGATTCTGTCAAGGTCGGTAGGGCGATGTAGCGAGCTTGAAACTGCGTCCTGAGGCCTCCTTGGCTGAGCGACCGCCTGTCGAGGAGAAGACGATCCTCATGCAGGCACTGTTAAGAATCTGAGCATTCTGAGCCTTTGCGCCAAGTCCAACTAGTTTGTACACTTACTCCACAGTCTGATTATGTCAAAGTCCACATTGTTTCTTGCTGCTTCATACAAAGTCCATAAATTCCATTTCGGTTAAGCAACATGTCTTGAAGTGATTGAGTGAATCTTCGCCGCTGGAGGTTCAGAACACTTTGCAGAAGACCTTCGCGAAGGACTTGATTCTCAAAGCTGCGTATTTGAGAAACCAGACGCAAGAACCAAGGACAATTAATCTCATCGACATACAACCAAGGCCAAAAACAGACAATTCCAAGTATGCAGTATGCAAGGGGAGAAATGCGTTACATTGCAAACTTTTCTGGTATTTCGAGGGCTCCAGGACAGCGCAAGTAGGCTAAAGGCTTTGACAGGTTGTCATTGTTCTCTGCTTTGGTGACCGGATGTCACAGTTTGGAAACTGAGCCCTGCAGTTTGGACACTTGAATTTGATTGAATTTGGGTATATAGTACTTTCTGGGTGAACTTCGATTTTGAGTTTTCTACATGTGGGGGGCTGTGAAATCACAGATGGGTGACAGTGCTTTCCCAAACTGTCACTTTAATTCCCCCATTTTGGCCCCAAGTTGGCAAATTATGGCTGTAACTTCTCATGGAATCAAATGATGGCTCTATTTTCACAATCTATGGCTGTAATCTGCGCAATAGCGGATATTTTTCAAAGTATGGTTCTACTTTTCCCCCTCACCAAAATTTGCGTCTACTTTCTCAAAATACAGGTCTCCTTTCTCAACATGCATGCCTATTTTCTAGAAATCTGGCTCGATAAACAATTTTTGGTGTGCCCATACACCACATTCGGAGTGTAGTTTTGATATTGTTTTTGCCAAGTGCGCCAATAGCGACCCCTCAGTTTCTGCCAATTGTCATTCCTTCCTCAAGTATATGCCTCAGCTTCTCGGGACCTGTCATGCACTCGGAGGGCGGGTTGGGGTTGGGTTGGGTTGGGGTGGGGTGGCAATAGCGTTCATGTTTCATTGCGTTGTTAAAATTTCTCTTATTCTTGCACTTCCACACCGACCTGATGCTATGTTGTAAAAATTCCTCTTGAACTTGTACACCTACTTTTGCTACATTGAAGAAACACCTGTTGCATTTGCACTCCGGCTTGATGTTGTGTTTGCACTTGCACACCGACTTGATCTTACGTTGTAAAAACTTCTCTTGCACTTGCGCATACTCTCGCACTTGCACACCGACTTGATGCCGCGTTGTAAAAGCTTCATTTGCACTTGCGCACCGGCTTGATGCCACGTTGAAGTTATCACTCTTTGGAACAAAGATGGTAACCTTATTTGGCCGTTGGAATAAAAGACTTTTACTAAATAAAAGTCTTAGTGGGGGTGGAACAACTGACACGCTGTGAACTTTAAAACACCTCAACCTTGGTCGTTTGATTTGTCCTCCCTCCTTTATTTATTATTTCCTCCTCTTCAGTGAGATGCACATTTACATGACATGTTGAAGGGTTTGGAAACGCTGTTTACTTCCGGCAGTTTGGTCCAAACCTGCGTCGTGGGAAAATTCAGCAAGGGGGTAGCCATGGTATGACGTTTTCTGCCTTTTTACCTGGATAGCTGAAACATGAGTTCTGACGCAAACGTGGCTAGAACGGATGGTTTGGAGTTGGCAAATGTTACCAGAAACTGATGGTTTGGAGTTTGGATTTGGACCTTCAGTCACTGACTTTAGTGGTGGTGCTTTCACTAACTCTTTACAGGATGGATATTCACCTGGAAGACTTTTGGCAGACGACGTTCAGTCGACTGTGCCGAAGGGATACAGCGTGGAGAGTGCTCTGGATAAGTCTTGGCAACAGTTGGAGGTCAAACTATTACAACAGTTTTGGGAACATGGTTTTGGGCTGAGAATTTTTGGCACCGATACAGGGGCAACTTCTTCGGGCGATTTTCCAAGAGTGTTGGGGTTGCATAGACCCCTTGGGCCGGCTGAAAACCATGACGCTGAGATTGCAGGAGATGTCAGTGTGGGGGTGTCTGGACAAAGCAAGAGACTGAAGCATCCACATACATGGATGGGGTGTCTCACTGCTCGGTGCAATCCTGGCTTGAACAACGGGACAGTTTTTGGGAGACTGCAGTCAGAAGATGGCACCGTTGCAGGCTGTCTTGGGACGGTGAAGATGCCCTTATAGGCCTTGTAAAAAACAAAACCGGACTTCAAGTCACAATGCCAGATAGTTGTGGATGTGCTCCACAATAAAGCGCCTGCTACTCTGCTGAAGCGTTGCAATAGCGTTTCAAGACTGGTCAGTGACTTACATCGACCTGGCAACAGGTTTCCTTGCAGTGAAAACGATCTGTATGAACACCTTTGCAGACAGAGGGATGCAGGAGCGCCGTGCTCGAGATTGAAATCGCTGTTGGGGGCGGTTACCTTTGTGAGGCACATGGTTGGAGTGGAATCGCTGGACATTTGCACGAAGAGCAGACGATGTTTGGGGGTGGTCACACCTGAGCAGATGAACGTAATCAATCAGGCACCACCACTGAAGGTGGAGCATCTGTTGGCAGTACACCATGGTCTGGATACGGACGAAGATGATTGTAATGTTTGTTTTGCTGGCAGGGTCATCTTCTGCGTTTATGGAAGGGCGAGATGGGGAGACACCCAGCACTCACAGGATACTGAGTGGGACATGGACCTGGACGGACAGATCTGTTTCGTTGAATGCTCGACTGCAGTGCATGAAACATGTAGGGCTTTGAGCATGGGACACTCCTTCTTGCCGCTTACAGCTCCAGGGCCACCTAGCACCAAGGAGGAAAGTGACTGGTTGAAGGTGTTGATGTCCCGGAAACGTGAGGCGCTGAGTTTGTCGGAATCCATGCGTTATACATTGCATTCATTCAAATGTACCACATTGTCAATTTTGGCAAAGTATGGTTGCAGCTTTGAAGACAGGTTGGCTCTGGGTTACCATGTGGATCAGGTGCGCATGGCCTTGAGGTACAGCAGGGATGGTGCATCACGTCCACTTAGGGTGTTGGAGACTTGCCTTGCGGATATCAGAGCTGGACGTTTTCGTCCGGACATCACCAGGAGTGGACGTTTTGTGGGGACCTCAGAACCTAGCAAAGTTGCCGAGACAGCCGATGTTGCAGAGGAGGTGCAAGTGAAGCAAGAGGTTTTGGTGGCATCATTAGGTGTCTTTGATGAAGGTGAGGTGATAGATGTATCATCAGACCATGCAACGACCTGTAGTGAAAGCAGCAGTGATGATGACGTGTGGTCATGCCGAAGAACCCGATGAGAACACTGCTCATCCCTGAGGGCGCTGATGTCTGGAAACATTGCAAGTTGAAAACTGTCCATTTGTCTTTGCATGGGTATGTTCGGATTTTTTGCTTGTGGTCGGAGGATCACAGATGTTTACCAGAAGGGCGGCGTGGACGTGCGTTTTGATATAATCAAATTCCAAGCAGTGTTTCAACAGTTCTCTCCTGAAAGATGTATAGTTGCAGTGGTGTTTCACTTGAATTTAATTTTCAGTGCATAGGTAAATCAAGATGGATGCACTGAAACAGTCAACCATCATGGCAGGATGTTTCATGGCAGTTGTGTGCATGCCTTGCTTTGTGACAGGTAGCCTCGGCGTGAGGAACGTCAGGCAGTGTGTGGCCAGGGGCATAACTGTTGCAGTTGTTCACACAGGTCATGTCAGTTGTCAACAACTTTGTTTGCAGTGATGTCACTCACGCTGGGACTCGAGACAGTAGGGACAACCATGGTTTGTTGGGTGTGAACCTCAGTCCATAACAGTGGATGTGGGGCCACATGGTTTCCAAGGCTTGAGGTTTCAAGACTCTTTTGTGTGTGGCATGGCAAACTGTGCATGGTGGTTGTTGTTTAAGTTTTCAATTACACCTGTGTGTTTTGGAAAACGTGGCAACCTTCAAGCAGTCATACGACGTTGTGCGGAGCCACAACAAGATGTTGGGCAGGGCACTTGAAGCGTTATAGAGTGACAGCTGGACAGAAAAACTTTTGCTGCAGGTAGCACGTTTGAGTTTGTGATTTGATGTGGCATGTCAACTTGAAGATTGATGTCGTTGATGGGAACAGGACGGAAGGGAGGATCGTAGATGGACCCTGAACGTCAAACCGTCGAGACATGGGCTCAGGTTGGAATGTTCGTTTAACAGCTTGGTCAGCGTGTTTTGGGAAACGTCTCACATTGTTCCATGGCATGTGTGTTTCTTTACACTTGATGGGGTTGACACTGAACCCCTACAAGTCTGGTCCCCGGCTTTCTTCATGAAATTCATACCTGTAGGATGTTTGACAGGTTTTAGATACTGTTTGCAGTACAGGGTGCATTGGGTTTTGCATTGAGTAGTGAACTCGACGCGTCATGGCGCCTGTGGATTCACAAGCCACCTTTCACTGCACTGCGAACAAGATTGACAATACTGGATGGTTGAAGGCCACCTTGCATAGGAACAACCTCAAGACGTTTTCTGATCTTGGGTTTGCAGGGGCCCCACAAGCACCGGCGGGCAAGCAGAATTTGAAGTGTTTTGTACACAGATCAATGGAGGTACGGACATGACCATTTCAGAAGCTGCTAGGTTGAGACGCCATCATTTTTAGGCCTGCACACTAATAGTTGTGCACACCAAGCAACAGGTGTACCTTGACGCCTCAGTTGAAGGTGGCCGCAAACTTGCAGTGGCTGAGAAACAGGCGCGTTTACAACAACACAGCAGCTCCTGACAGGAGTCAACATTTCCGGAGAGCTACAGACAAGCTGCGCTCTCATCGACTTGGCGGCATCTATGTTGGAGAGCAATTCAAGCATTTGGATTTCACCCGCTAAATGCTCTAAGCGGGAATAAGAGATACAGTTGCCCATGACAAAAAGAAAAGTCATCAGTGATAGCGGTGGAACAACATACGCTGAAAGTGACGGCCGCTGAAGATGTTGTCAAAGTGGGCCATAGCACAGAGTTACAGCTACAATGGGCTATGCAGAGGCGTGGAATAGCGCTGGATCAGTGCCGACTCATTGCATGGGAGACGCATCAAAGGTGGGTGCAATACCGATTGGGCCTTCTTTCAAAGGCAGTGCCTGACGGATACGCAAAGATCAAGGTGGAGCAGCTTCTCAAGGCTGATCGGGAATTATTATTAG